CCCCCGTGGCCCCCTCCCCTGCCAGTCTTCCATCCCGTGGAGTGTTCTTACTGCCGGTGCGAGAGCATGATGGGCTTCCGTTACCGGTGCCAACAGTGCCACAACTACCAGCTCTGTCAAAACTGTTTTTGGCGTGGCCATGCCAACGGCCCTCACAGCAACCAGCATCAGATGAAAGAGCATTCCTCTTGGGTAAGCCTTCTCTCCGGGGCCCCCTTCTGTCCTGGGAGACGTGTCAGTTGCCTTCGCAGTGCAGTGGGAAGAGCACCTGGGGGTGTGAGCAGTGAACGCCCCATGACGGGGGGTGGCTGGGGTGGCGGAAAGGGTCTTCGGAGCAGGGAGGGGCCCCTCCAGGAGGGCCGAGGCAGCCGCGCTCTTTCGCCTCCCTTGTCCATCTCTAAAACCAGAAAGGCTGTGATGAGCCTTCCAGGCCTGAGGGATTGACAAGGCAGTGACACCCCCTGAGGAGCCACGATTCCTTGTGAGTCTCTCTTCAACACCTGGAGACCCCCACCCCCACCCCCACGTGAATGGCCTCCACAGCCTTGAACCAGCCCAGCTCTCTAAGGATATTAGGGCCACTGCCAGTGTTTTCTTTCCTTTCTTTCCTGCCCGGGCCAGGCCAGAGCCCTCTGCGGGGGTTCTGTATGGACGGGCACCCCCTCTGGCCTCCCACGCCCGCTTACTGAGGGGGTCCTCCTGAGAGGTGGAACCAAAGCAGACGCAAAGGGGAAGTCAGTGCAAGGGGGGACATTGGAGAAAAGGGCTGAAATAGGAGAGGCAGGTCTGGGAAGAAGGAGAAGAAGGAGCGGGGGAGCCTGGAGAGGATTTGGGCAAAATACGTTTTCTACGTCCTTTAGGTTACACCTTTTCTTCCACTGAAATATCCAGCTCCTACCTGTTTCATATATACAGACAGGCTTTGTATACATTGTCTATCGGTGGACATTTCTTCTTTCTGAAAATGCTTGCTGTCTAAAATGCAGCATAAACTGTTGGATGTGTGTGTGTGTGTGTGTGGGGGTGTCGCTGTGTTCTTTCTCCAGTTGGGAAGTCCAGGACAGAACAGGAGACGCTTGGGAGCTCCCCGCCAGCTGTTCTGACTCTTGAGAAAAAGGATTGCTTTTCTCCTAGACCAAACAGAAGGCAATTCTGAGCTTCTGGAAGCTCTCCAAGTAGGTGACAGGATTCATCTTGGCAATCCCAAACGGAGGTCTGTAGGGCCTTGTGGGACCACAGCTGTGCGTAAACAGTCACTGTAAGGTTGTTGTAGGTTTTTCGGGCTCTTTGGCCGTGTTCTGTTCTTCCTAACATTTCACCAGTCTCTGTGGCCATGGGCATCTTCAGAGGACAGACGACAGGTTGCTGTCCTCTGAAGATGCCCATGGCTGCAGAGACTGGCGAAACGTTAGGAAGAACAACCTTCAGAACACGGCCAAAGAGCCCGAAAAACCCACAACAACCATTAGATCCCGGCTGTGAAAGCCTTCGCGAATATAGTCACTGTAAGCTTGGGTGTAGAGGCCAGCGCATGGAGAACGCCCTCTTTCAGTCCCCAGCCATTTTCCTCTTGGGGGTAGAGGTGAGGAAGTTTCCTGCCTGCCTGAAGCCTCAGAGAACCTGCTGCCAGTCATTTAGACTGGGAGGCAGTAAACGTTGGAGAGCACGGAGGCCAGTTCCATGGGCCTCCCCCCCCCCCGATGCCCCCGATGCCACTCTGGATTCCCTGTGGGCTTCCCTGCCTCCTCCTGCTGTGACACCCGAGGAGGCTTTCAAAAGAACCTCTGAGTCTATGCAAAGAAAGCAGGATCAGTGGGGAGAGGATTTCCACCATGCCACTTAAAGAAAATGGTGCATCGTGAAGCCCTCCCAGGACTGGAAGTCTTCATTTCCACACGAGAGGGTGGGGCATAAGCCATGGACGGAGGCGCTGATCCCCTCTTGGGGTCAAGGGGACTGAGCCTCGGGTCTTGCTGGTCTGACTGGGTGCCAGACACCTTCCCGTGTCCTTAGCTTCTGGTTGATTTCCCCCTCTGGCATGAGATGGATAGTTGTGGCAGAGCCAGTGAGGACAGTCATCCCTTCAAGGGTTGAAGGGCTCTTGAGCCAGCAAGGAACGCCTCCTGCAGACCGCCTTGCTGGCCGGAGCAGAGTGGCATGACTGGACATCAGGGCCAGAGGGGAACATTGATGTTGCCATAATAGGGCTGGGTGATGTTCTCCTGCTCCCAGGAAGGTACCTCTGGAGACTCTGAGAGTATGATTGCATTGTGCTGAACAACAGAGTCTTCCAGACAGATCAGTGGGATCACCCTCCAGATCTCCGTGTCCTGTGTGGAGAACCTTCACCTCAAGGAAGTGTTCTGTATTCCGGGCGAACCAGCTTATGGCCAAGCTGTTCCCAGAATGACGGGCAGGCCAGACCCTTCATTAAACTTGCAGAAGAACCCAGCTGCTGTTGCTGCTGGATTAGGCCCAGGGTCCAGCATCCTGTAACGTATCTGCAGCAGCTAGCCATGTGCCTCTGGGACTCCTCAAATGGGGGGAGGAACGGCTTTCTGCTGCCGCCGCTGCCTTGAACCTGCCCTCCGTGAGTGTACTGTTCTGGGGATTCTCTCTCTCTCTCTCTCTCTTTCTGAAGTCCAGCCCCTTCCTCAAGGCAGGAATCCAAGTCAAAGCAGTTCTGATAGAGGGTTGCCCAATTTTCTCTTGAATGCCTCCAGCGCTGGAGCGCTCACCACCTCCCCCTGAAGTCATTGGTTCAGTTTTCATACTGCTTTAGCAGTTAGGAAGTTCTTCTTGATAGTCAGCTGAAATCTGGCTTCCTGCAGCTGAGGCCCATTATTACACATGCTCTCCACTTTGGGATGCTCAAGAGCAGATGCTACCTGTCCTCTGTATGATTATCTTTTAAGTACTGGGAGAGTGCTGTCTTATCTCCTCTCTGTCTTTTTCTTTCAAGGCTAAACATGCCCAGTTCTTTCAGCCTTTCCTCACAGGGCTTGGTTTCCAGCCCCTTGATCCTCCCAGTGCTCTCCTCTGAACTTGTTCCAATTTGTCAGCATCCTTCTTGAAGAGCAAAGCCTAGAACGGGACACAGCACTCGAGATGAGGCCTCACCAGTGCCAAATACAGGGGAATGTGTACCTTGCAGGATTTGGAGACTAAACTTCTATTAATGCAGCCTAAAATAGCATTTACTTTTTTTGCAGCCACATTGCAGTGTTGGCTCTTCATTTGGCATGGCAGAAGTTGTTTTTGACAAATCCATGCTGGTTTCTGGTTATTACTGCATTGTTTTCTAAGTGCTTGCATTGTGACCACTTTTTAACCTGTTCCAGAATTTTGCCTGGGATTGATGTCCCCTGGCCTGTAGTTCCCAGGTTCCTCCCTTTTGCCCTTTTTGAAGATGGGGAGAACGTTAGCCCTCCTCCAAACATCCGGCACTTCACCCATCCTCCGTGATTTCAAGAAAATAAGGGACAGCAGTTCTGAGAGTTCTTCATCCAGTTCCTTCAAGACTCTTGAATGCAGCACATTAGACGGAAAAAGGGCCCAGACATGGGCGTGACTTACCAGGTTCTGAGTTGATTGCAGTTGGCTTTCTTGCTCTTGCTGCCAATCCTCTATTTTCTTTCTCCACTTTTTATAGGAGAAAACTATCAGCCACAGAAGTCAGGAATTTCTTGGAAGGTCCATATTTGGCAGAGTTTGCCTCCCATCAGATAATCAGGATAATTGAAATCTCCCATTACTACAACATGGTGTCTCCTTGAAATTCTTGCCGTTTGTTTTTCAAAGGTTTCATCTGCATCTTCTCCTTCATTGGGGTGGTCAGTGATAGACTCCAACTACCTTGTTCCATTTGTTTCTCACCCCAGTTCTATGAATCCAGATGCTCTCAATGGGACAACCAAGCTCATCCTCCTTTATTTCGTTGCAGGAGCATTTGTTTATTTTTCATGGTCTCTATGAATGCACACGAATGGGTTAATCTGTGCCTACGCAGGAGTCCTCGGAACTTTCCAGAGCTTTAAAACACGTGATTAGTAGGATGTTCCCCCGTGGAGCTCATGCTCTGCCCATCAAAAGGCCCCTCAGTTCCTTTTAGCCGCCGCTGAGGCTAGACTCCTTCACGACGACTAGAGCAGCTTTTTCATATTGTGATCTTCAGATCTTCTCTGTGCCTTTTAGGCATCGTCATTACTTAGTTATTTCTTCTTGGACATTTCCATCTGAGTTTTGTTTCCATTTCTCTGCTTTTTCCCCTTACTTTCCTTCTCCCCTCCCCCATTTCCCACCCTTTTATGCCCCTTCCGGGTTCATTTAAATGGTTCATTTTGTGTGCCAACAGGATCCCCCTTTCCAATGGCCACAATCGTTGTCTTTTTTTGTTTTGGGGAGCAACACCAAGCTCACTGCTGTCCGGGGTGTAAGAGATTGACCAAGCCTGCTCATAATCTCCACCTACAGCGCCTTCAGTCTTTCCTCTGGGAGAAATCCTTCAAACCTTCCAACCCCAGATCTCGTACCATCATGGAACCTACCTCAATGCCCGTTCCAAGATCTGATTCGGCAGACCCGGTATCGGCCCCGACCACACCGTCTCCAAAACAAAAATCATCGTCTAAGTCCTCTTTGAAATTGAAACCATCATCGAGCTCAAAGCCACCCTCGGGACCGGCTCGAGAATCCTCACCTAAAGGAAACAAAGATCAAACTAAACAAAAGAAGGTTAAACGCCCTTCTGAGTCTAAACAACCAAGGGAGGTTCCTTCTCATCAGTTAAGTCTTCCATCTCCAATCTTGGAAGAGTCTTCCAGAGAAGCAGTTAATCTCGACTCCTTGTCAGAAGCTGAGGACCCTCTCCCACTACCTCTGGGCCAAGCTCCAGCCTCTTTACCGAGCCTCTCACCCAGTCACGGCCCTTCAGTGGGTGATGTTCTTTCCAGCCTGGCCTCAGCCCATATGAGTCCTACATCTACAGGGTGGGCAGCCGTTATACAGCTCTCCCGTTCTGACTCCTCCTTGCAACAGTCACCACCTTGCAAGCATTTGGCAAAATTGTGTCATCGTTCGCCTTCATATCGACAGCCTCCAGATCAAGAAATTCACTACCTACACTGGCTTTCTCGACACCAACCCCCTCCAGACTATTGAGAGTCTTACTATGGGGAGTTTGATCAACGCTG